TGGTATAGCATGGTATGCATATTGGTGCGTTGTGGTGAAATTCATTCTGAATGGCATCCCAAAGCATCTTTGTGCATGATGTGAGTTGCAGTGAAGCAAGAGGTGCACAACACACCATCATGGTGCGTTGTAATGAGCTAGCAAATGTACAGTACAGATATTACATTAAAGCAACTCAAGGCACATTTAGGACCCATTTACATCTTTGTGATGCATTTAATGCCTATGTGATGATTGTGTTGCATGACCCCCCAAAAAGGATGTAGTAACACAATGGGGGAGATTTACTAAAACTGGAGCACTCAGAATATGATGCCGCTGTGCATCGTAGCCAATCAGCTTCTACCTTCAGCTTGTTCAATTAAGCTTTGGCAATAAAACCTGAAAGCTGATTGGTTTCTATGCAGAGCTGCACCAGATTTTTCACTCTCCAGTTTTAGTAAATAGCCCCCAATATATGTTCCTGTGCAACATAACGTGTTAATTAATGATTGGCTGCATGTTCTAGTCGAATGTAAGTTCCACTCAAACATGGGCTGTTCGTGTGTTTGGTTAACCACCAAACACACGGTCGGGTGCAATGCTTTGGTCAATCCCAGGGCATAATGATGTCACAAGGGGGCTGGGGTGATCCTGCCCCCTTGTGACATCATCACCCTCTTTAAGAACGGTCATCACGGCACAGCTGTCAGACAGCGTTAGCCAGCGTCGAGGGCAGAGCGGATTTTTTTTTTTCTTTTTTCATGCCGGCGGTGACGGAGGGCTTCACGATTGATGCTGGATCTACTTCAGGAGACATTTTTTTTTATTTTTAATAAAGGACTTGTCAAAGACCGTCTCCTGTCATTTTTTACAATACACTTTTTTTTTCATTCACATGGGGGGGCTGTTATCTGGGGCTTCCAGATTCCGATAATCCCCACGACCGCAGACCCCTACAACCACTGGCCAGGGTTGTGGGGAAAAGGCCCATGTCCCCATCAACATGGGGACAAGGTGCTTTGGGGAGGGGGGGACCTGTGCCAAAGCACCCCCCTCATGTTGAGGGCATGTGGCCTGGTATGGTTCAGGAGGGGGGGGGTGCTCGCTTGTCCCCCCCTCCTTTCCTGGCCTGCCGGGCTGCATGCACGGATAAGGGTCTGGTATGAATTTTGGGGGGGACCCATACGCCATTTTTTTTTTAAATTTTGGCATGGGGGGTTCCCCTCAAAATCCATACCAGACCCAAAGGGTTTGGTGTGGAGGGGGGGGAGGGGGACCCCATGCTGTTTTTTGTTTTTTTTTTTTTAAATTGTGGGGCAATGCTGCAATTCTTTTGACATTCAGCTGTCAGCGGGGAACCCCACTGACAGCTGAAAAATGAATGAATGTTTCACTACTAAATTACCACATGACTTGATATAACTCATGCCGGATTTTAGTAGCTGTGTGGTATTTTATCACATACTCAGATGCTGTAAAATACCGCTCAGTAAATTGTCCCTGTTCAAAGTTCACGGTCAAATTTTTGGTAGGTTCAAATGGTCGACCGCAAAGCGAACAGAGGGGTGTTCAGCCCATCACTAGTGTTAATGCTCAATCATCGCATATGAATTAAAATGCACAGCACAGATATAAATGGGTCCTAAATGGGCTTTGAACTGGTTTAATGTAATTTCTATACTGTACTTTGCCAGCGAATCACATTGCACCGCAACGGAAATCAGGGCGTTGCTGCACCTCGTGCTTCACTACATCACACAGCGGGCAGACAGCTGCTTTGGGGCGCCATTCAGAATGAATTCCACCACAGCACACCAATATGAATATAACACGGGTAAAAATCTGTACTGTACATTATGACCAAAGGATCTTGGCACTTACTACAGTGCTGCAAAACAGGAAATAAAATATGAAGCAGTTCGGAATGAGCAGAGACAAGGATTTATCGGCCTACCAGAACCAGAACAAATAGCAGTATGTCACCACTGCTTCCACACTGCAGACTACTGACCCCTGTACTGTGCCCTGCTGAACCATTGTACTCGGCCAAGCTGACCCCTAGTACTTTGCCCAGATGATCTCTGTATTCTTCCCTGCAGTCCCTGCTTACCCCTGTACTCTGCCCTACAAACTACTGATCTCTGTATTCTACCCCTTATAAAATACTGACCCCTGTCTGCTGCCCTATAAACTACGGGCCCTTGTATGCTGCCCTATAAACTACGGGCCCTTGTACACTGCCCTACAACTACTGATCTCTGTACACTGCCTTGCATATTACTGACCCCTGTACTCTGCTGTACATACCACTTACAGTGGTCACAATTCAGCCCAGTCAGTCAAGCCAGGGCTGTTTGTTAATGAAAAACTGACCGTTATAGTCACTGATACCCGCAAAAACATTCTCAAAGTCTGGAACCTATTGATCAAATATGCCTAACTAATCTATTAAACACACTAATTTAGACAGGAATAACAAGATGCAAACAAAGCCTAAATATGTCAAATGAATTGTGTTAGAAAATGTATCACAATCAATCAATCAACACAACTCCAGCAGGTTTTTTCAGTGTGTGGAAGAATGCTGTGGAGTGGGTTATTAAGGGAAAAAAAGCTATAAAAGGTGACACCAAACTGAACGAATCAGAGGTCCCCAGTCCCATATTGGAAGAGACTCCTCCGGTAAGGAGTTTAGTTCTGTCCTTTACTCTTTTTCAGCAGGAACCCAGGGCTTTGGTGTTTTTAATGCTTACTAATGACATATTACCATCTGTAGCATTCCTTTTTTATGGTTTTATTTCTCTATGTTATATATGACCATGTTAGTACACTGCAATAGCATACATTTATAAAAAAATTGTCTATTTTCTCAGGTGAAGATGTTGGTGCACGGTCTTCTAGTCCTCTCCTTGGCACTTGCTACAGCTTTTGCTAACAAGTGTGGTGAGTATATTTCTTGTGTAGTATAAGCTATGATCTATAAGAGGTGCTCAGATATTTTTATTCTGGCATCCAAACATCGGTCTGTTATTGTGCTGGAAGCATTGCTGTTGGCAAGGTCTAAAACTCTCAGGCTCCATGCACACTAGCATTTTTTTCTGCTCCTAGAAGCTAATAGTGTTAGCTATGCACACTATTTAATGCTAGAAGTGTTTTTCAAATGTTCTCATTTAGAAAAAGAAAAAAAAAAATTTGTAGAGTTTTTCGGAGCGTTTTCACAGCAGAAAAAAAGCTAAAAAACTCCTAAACGCTTCAAAATGCTGCTAAAACTCTCCTAACAGATTTTTCCAATGCTGCCAAACGCTTCTAAACGCTACTAAAATGCTACTACAAGCTGACACAAAAATGCTATTATCAGCTTTTTTTCATCCAGCGTTTTTTTTTTTCTAGCTTTTTTTAGATTATAAAAAACACTAGTGTGCATGGAGCCTCAATATATTTTCAACTACAAGGTTTTGTAAATATGGAAATCTAAGGACTCCATCCCATCAGTCTAGTGTGCTTTGCATACTAGCAATGTTTTACACATTGGGGTTGATTTACTGAAACTGGAAAGTGCAAAATCTGGTGCAGCTCTGCATAGAAACCAATCAGCTTCCAGGTTTTATTGTCAACGCTTAAAGGATAAGTTCACCTTTGGGATCATGTTACATGCTCCATCCATTTTTAGAGTGGAACATGTAACGTGTTCCCATAGCTACTGCCACAACTGCCGCCCCCCCTCTGACAGATAGTACGGGGAGATATTTCTCTTTACTATCTGTCAGATTTGAAAACAGCTCCGCCCACACTGCTCCGTCCACACAGCCGCATCACTCATTCACAAACGTCTGTGAATGAGTGCCTACAATTCCCAGCAGCCTTAGCAGCTGTGGGTTTGTAGTTTTCAATGAACTACCAGAGCCCTGTGGAGCACCATAGTAGTTCATTGAAGCTTCCTATCAGAATATCTGCTTTCTCGTACATCCCATATGGTAAGCAGATATTCTGACAGGTCTGCAGGAGACCTGCATGGCATCAGCAATCTACTGATCGCTGGTGCAATGCTTTCCAGGCTCCTGCAGACAAAAATAATAAATGCACATTTTTTTATACCTGCAAAAAAATGTGCATTTATTATTTTTGTCTAAAAGGTGAACTTATCCTTTAATTGTACAAGCTGAAGTTAGAAGCTGATTGGCTACCATGCGCAGCAGCACCAGATTTTGCACTTTCCGGTTTTAGTAAATCAACCCCATTGACTTTTTTATGCAAAATGGTAAAAACATTTTTCTTGCTAAAACACTATAATACATGTAAATGTAATTTTTTTAGCCAATTTGGCATTTGTTTTTGATCTGGCAAATAATTTACAACATGAGTGAGATCTGGGTGTGAAAGATGACAATGATATGATGCCTTGCTGATTAAAAAAAAAGTCTAAAAATGCCAGACTATACAATGTATATGAATACAAACATACTGTATATCTGCTCAGAAAATAAAAACAAATATCAGAAGATAATAAGTTATTCCTAATTTTCATTGTACAGTACGTGTTGCTTATTGTATGTACAGTATGGTATTCCTTCTGTGCCAAAATTCCATACCTACTGACGGCATTTTGTAAATGGTTTATTGTTTGTATTACATGGAAATAAAAAATAAATAAATAAAAAATATATCTGAAACATATATTCAGATCCTGGAAATTATAACCAAAGGTTTCTATTTTATAATGGTCCTTAATTTTTATGTTCACTGTGATAATTCTTATTACTCTAGCTGAAGACATTCTGGCAACATAAAACATTTTGAAGGCTTCTGTCTTTGCCTACTTTGCCTCTCTACAGCACAGCAATGACTATGGTACATGTTAGTATTGAAAAAAAGATACATTTTTAGCCATATGGAATAGAAAGAAATATTATAGATTAGTACATAAATATATGTTGGAATATAATTAAACAACCAAAAATCGAACAGAAAATCAGGAAGGAATATTTCTGTTTCCCTAATTGTCTCTGTGTCTGTTCTTAGAATATGCTTCTATCTCTGAGAAGAAACAGAACATCCTAAACCTGTTGGCATGCTGGGATGATGACTCTGCAAATAGAATCGTACCAGATTCCAGGTTCCCTACTGGAGGTAGTGATGGATACAGAAGCTGTAAGGAAATCAAGAACTCAGACAAATATGCTAAAGGTGAGATACACATTCATATGTCATGGTGCAAATACATATACAGTATGACAAGCAAAAATATGCTTTCCGACTATATGATCATCACTGATCCAGTAAAGCAAGGGTCATATATTACAATGCATTATATAATGTACATTTCAAGTTAAATAATTGGCATTCACTTCTAAAGGTGGCAACATGTTTAACAAGTTAGGGGAAAGAATTCCAGAGAGCAAAGAATTGCCAGAGAGAAACAAAAAGGGAGAACGATTGAAAAAAAATGTAAAGCCAATACCATATATTAAGGTAGAAAACTGCATTGTGAAGTGTTTTAAAAGGCAGAGCATATGTTAACTGGAGTCCCATAGAATCTGACCCGCCAGGCCATTTCATACAACCATTGCACCTCTCCTGCAGATGCAGCACCCCCCTCATCTCCTCCCTCACCTTGTCTCAGTATTTGGCAGCAGATAGATGAATAGAACTCTTCCGCCAGATCCTGTGCTTCTCTGTGAAGCCACAGAGAGGCTCATTTCTGCCCCCCCCCCATCTCAACAGTTGCCAACAGATAGGAGGACAGAACTTTGTTTACAGATCCTGCACCTCTCTGTGCAGCTGCAGCACTCTCTTGTCTCCGTCTTTTCTGGTCTCAGCATTCAGCAGACTCCGGCAACAGACTCCAGCCTTCCTCTGGTCCTCCTCCAGACCCTGCACTTTCTGCTTCCCAGCTCTGCCCCCAGCTTCTTCCTGGAAGCACAAGGTAAATGGGGTGCACTGTGATATAAAGGAGAATAGGGGACTCTTCATGATGAAGGGGCTCTTGACATCTGTTGTAAGTGGCAGTGGGGTGCAATGGAGATCTAAACTTACAGATACAACTGGCCTTTGAGGGCAACTATAATGTTGATGTGGTGCATGATGAAATTGAGCTTGACACCCCTGCCGTAGAGGAATTGGTACAAATGGTTGGCAAATGAGGGGTAGTTGAACACATAACTGGGTATTATAACTGCATTCACAATAGACTATAGAGGAGGTGACAGTATTGTTATATGAGAACAGTCAGGAGAAGGTTGCATTTGCACACATGTAGAAATGAGTGACTAAGGGCAAAGATAGGGCAAACATATGAAAAATGGCTGCTTTTTATTATAATGATAAAAGGTTAAGGCAGCGCATGTGTAACTCATCTTCTACAATCATTTTATTTCCTTTTATACTGGGTGTGGATTTTAGTTAATGTACAAATTCTGAACAGTTTAATATACTGCTATTTCAGATGGAATTTACATGCTTATCTCTAAAGATGGAGTGGTCTACCAGACCTTCTGTGATATGACAACCAATGGTGGAGGTTGGACACTCGTGGCAAGCGTACACGAAAACAGCATGAGTGGGAAATGCACAACAGGAGACCGCTGGTCCAGCCAGCAGGGAAACAACCCCAGTAATCCAGCAGGAGATGGAAACTGGGAAAATTATGCCACATTTGGGCTACCAGATGGTGCAACCAGTGATGATTACAAGGTATTGCAATTAAATATAAAAAAAAAAATAGAACTATTTTAGTTTAGCTTTCACAATGAGGCAACTAAAAGATATTTTTAGTAAATGCTTACCGCTGTGTTGTTGGCAAGGGCCTGTGTACTATTCACAGAATCATTAACAAAATACCCATTAATGTGAAGACTGCCAGTCACAAAATATATATAAATTACACAATCATCATCAGTTTTCAAGTAGACTTCAGTCTGATTCTTACTCACCAGATAGCTCAGAAAAGTACTTTTAGGGCAACTTCGTAGAGTGCTTCCATTTATTCTGTACTTAATAATGTCTATATATAGAAATTAATCTGTTTTTAAATAATTTGTGCTTTAGAATCCTGGATATTATGATATTACTGCCAAAGACCTGGGTCTGTGGCAAGTTCCCAATAACAAACCCTTGTCTCTGTGGAGGAATTCATCTCTGTTGCGATATCGCACCGACAATGCTTTCTTTAATCAGGAGGGTGGAAACCTCTTCCAGCTTTACAAGGTAAGCATTCTGTGGAAAATAAGAGACATTATCTAGCTGTTAACACAAAGGGTTTTTCTTTGTCAAAGTTGTTTGTAATATATGAACCATGCAAGTCCTTATGGAATCAAAATTCAAACCAATGAGTTTATGAAATAAAATAGGGTGGGGAGCAGGGACGGACTGACAACTCATGGGGCCCCCGGGCAATAGGGGATCATGGGGCCTCTGTGTCCTCACCCAGACTCAAAGCACACCCAAAAAAGCCTATGAAAGGTACCACGGGCATCCTATGGGAACCCCTACTGACTCCGGGCCCTCCAGGCCCGAATGGCGGGCCTGGTGGGAGCAAAGCTCCAACCCAGTCCCTACCCATAGCACCAGTCAAAAGCCATTCTTTTGTAATGAACCTGAATTTGGTTACTGAATTTGGTTATTGCGCTTTGCTCGTTAGACCTCGGTGCAAATAGATAGCAGACATTCAGATTACCATCTACAGTAGCCAGATTAGTAAACCATTAATTCTGATTGGTTGCTAAATTAAAACTTGTGCATAGTCATTGCATTTTCTATATAATAAATAAGGCAATTTTTTTTTAAATATATTGTATATGAATGATTAAATACAAATGGATTATTTGCTAATTTTAATATTTGTTTTTTATACTATGCTTATTCAGGAAACATAAAATTAGACAAATTTATTGACAGGATATTTTGAACAATGTTTTTCTCAACTGTGTTGTCACTGTGCTTTATGTACCATGGATAACATAGTTCTATTATTTCAAGAGTATTGAGTAGTTTATATAGTTATTACCCAGGGCTTTTTTCAGCAGGAATGCAGGGCAACCCAGCACTGAATGTATGTCATGGCAAGGGGTGTTGGGGGGTGCTGGAGGATCTATTGATACTGGCTGCTGGGGTATCTATTGTAACTGTAGGAGATCTATTTTTGAGTGGGGTCTGTTGTTTCTGGGGGGGTCTATTGTTGCTGATTGGGAATCTATTTTTGTTGGGAGGGATCTACTGTTGAGAGAGAAATCTATTGATGATGGTTGCTGGGAGATCTTTTGTTGCTGCTGGGGTCTTATGTTGCTGGGGTAGTATGTTGTTGTGGGGTGGTCTATTGTTGTAGATGGGATCTACTGTTACCGGACAGGGGTCCTTTGTTGCTGGCTGAAGAGGATCTATTTTACTACCGTATATACTCGAGTATAAGCCGAGTTTTTCAGCACATTTTTTGTGCTGAGAAACGGCCCCCTCGGCTTATACTCGAGTCAACGTCTGCAGATGGCTCCCCCCCCCCCCTTCCAACAGAAGGGACACTAAGTACAGGGATGGGCAGGGGGCTGCTGTCTCTTACCTGGCTCCGGTCCCACGACGATCCGGTCCAGGAAGCGAGGCTGCTCCTTCATTCGGTTCGTTCACTGGATGTTCACGCGGCTGCTCGGCTCCGCCTTCTCACCGGTGATTGGCCGCCAGAACTGTAGCTCAGGAAAGGCACACAGGCGGCCAATCACCGGCGAGGAGGCGGAGCTGAGCGGCCCCGCGAAAATCGAGTGAAGGAGATGCAGGTAAGTGTGCCGTGCTTAGGTGCTGCTGCAACCACATATGCTGGCTGCAGCAGCACCGTACTGGAACAGGGGTCAGCAAGTGTCAGTGGGAGGAATAGTGCCCCATCATTGGTGTCACGGATACCAATGATGGGGCATTATTCCTCCCACTGACACCAACGATGGGGCACTTATCCTCCCCCCCACTGACACCAACGATTGGGCACTATTCCTCCCCCCCCCCCACTGACACCAATGATGGGGCACTATTCCACCCCCCACTGACACCAATCATGGAGCACTATTCCACCCCCCACTGACACCAATCATGGGATACTATTCCTCCCCCCCCACTGACACCAACGATGGGGCACTTTTCCTCCCCCCCACTGACACCAACGATGGGGCACTATTCCTCCACCCCCCCACTGACACCAATGATGGGATACTATTCCTCCCACTGACACCAATGATGGGACACTATTCCTCCCACTGACACCAAAGATGGGGCACTATTCCACTGACACCAATAATGGGATGCTATTCCCCCCACTGATACTAATGATGGGGCACTATTCCCCCCACTGATACTAATGATGGGGCACTATTCCTCCCACTGATACCAATGATGGGACACTATTTCCCACTGACACCAATGATGGGGCGCTATTCCTCCCACTGACACCAATGATGGGGCACTATTCCTCCCACTGACACCAATAATGGGGCACTATTCCTCCCACTGACACCAATGATGGGGCACTATTCCTCCCACTGATACCAATAATGGAGCACTATTCCTCCCACTGATACCAATGATGGGACACTATTCCTCCCAGATGGGGCACTATTCCTCCCACTGACACCAATGATGAGGCACGATTCTTCCCACTGGTGTTCCCACCTTCGGCTTATACTCGAGTCAATAGTTTTTCCCAGTTTTTTTGTGGTAAAATTAGGTACCTCATTTATATTCGGGTTGGCTTATACTCGAGTATATATGGTACTTTTCTTGTTATCATTAACAAATTCCATGTTAGCATCACAAAATGATACTTGGTTTTGTATTCACTAAAAAGGTTAAGTACTGGGAGGTGGGTAGGGGGTGGAAATAAGGCACGGTACTCGGAGGAGGGTAAGGGGCAGAGACAAGGGGTTCAGAAAGCGGGAGTTCCTTTACCTATTCTCTGAGAAAAAAAGCTCTGTTATTACCTATCAATGATTTCAGTCAATGTTTTTATCTTCTTCACAGAAATACCCTTTGGTGTACAATATTGGAGCCTGTTTGGCACACAATGGACCTGCTGTTCCTGTAGTGTATGATTTTGGAAGTGCTGATAAAACAACAGCTTACTACTCACCAAACGGAGCAAGTAAGATCATGATAAATATCCATTTTTTCATATGTGTTATTCTATATATGAGTTCTGTGACATGATAATCAACACGTTAATACTCCTTTCTTTCGGTACAGGAGAGTTCACTGCTGGCTATGTTCAGTTCCGAGCTATTAACACAGAAAGAGCTCCCTGGCTTTATGCCCTGGAATGAAAGTGACAGGCTGCAATGTAGAGCATGTAAGTATTAATACTTCTTTAATACTGACACAGGTGATACTAAAGTCAAATGTCTTTCCATAGACTTTGAATGGTTACAGTACTTTTATTTACAGGATCATATCCACTTATCCCCGAGTGGACGTTATATAACATCCTGCGAGTGAAGTGATTATACCAGGATGGTGCCTTATCCTGCGGGCATTATCCAGGCATCAAAACTTATAGCATGCAATGGACTTTTTAGCAAAAGTAATTAAAGTGGCTGAATATCCAGTTGATCACTTCTGCGGGCGGTCCTTCTGTTCGGGGAGTTGGGGACCGCTGCGACGTGCAGCAGCAGTTTGCACTACACAGAGAGAGAGGAACTGATGTTGTGACTTTCTCTCTGTGACCCCAGGAACCAGAAGCGATGAGGATTTCTTCATTTCTGGTTCCAGCTCTTAGTTTACCTGGTCGTTAATGACCAGGAAAGCAGTCGGTCAGACCAGTTTGTGTCTGATCAGCTGCATTAGAGGCCAGAGGAGAGATCTGGGGGTCTAACAGACCCTAGATCTCTCCATAAAGAGCACCTGTCATGGCCCATGCTGTCACAAGGGATATTGGTCATCCCTTGTGACTGCAATAAAGTAAATTTAAATAAAAATAAAGAGACAGTATTAAAAAAGTTTTAAGTAAAACAAATTATACAAATTTATAAAAAGCTAAGAGGCCCTGTCCCCCTGCGCAAGTACGATAAGTAAGTCCCACACGCTTATGTAAACTGTGATCATACCACACTTGTGAGCTATTGTCGAGAATGTCAGAGTGAGAGCAACAATTCTAGCACCAGACCTCCTGTGTACCTCTAAACTGGTAACCTGTACAGGCGTTTAAAGTGTCGCCTATGGAGATATTTAATTACTGTAGTTTGGTGCCATTCCACAGATGTACGTAATTTTAAAGCATGACATGTTAGGTATCTATTTAATCGATGTAACATCATCGTTTAGATTTTATAAAAAAATAGATATTATATTGTGTTTGTGTGCAATAAAATTAATTAAAGTTTTTTTTTTTTTTTTTTTTTAAAAACAAATGCATTTGAAAAAAACCGCTGCGCAAATACTACGTGACATAAAGAATTGCAACACCCATTATTTTATTCTCTAGGGCCTCTGCTAAATATATATATATATTCGGGGGTCCTAAGTAATTTTCTAGCAAAACATTTAGAGTTTCAAATGTATGTGAAAAGTGTAAGGGCTCGTTCACACTTGACTAATTTCTAATGCTTGCCAAAACGCCCCTATAGCGTTTGACAGGTGTTTGGGAAGTGTTTTTTTAACTCTCCCCAAATGCCCTATGAGCATTCTTGAGGCATTTGATAGGCATTTGCCAAGCCTTAAAACCACACCACAAACGCCTGCAATGAAGTTTAATGGTATTAACACTCTGCAACCACCTTGCAACCCCGTCGCAAATGCCCCGCAAACGTCTGCGAGGCGTTTGAGGAGTGTCACCATAGACTTGAATGGGAGGCTTCAACTCCTCCTGAGTGGACATGAGGCGTCAATTTTGCTACAACGCAACGCTAAGGCTTCAGTGTGAACAGCACTGTGTGCTGCCATGTAGAATTTTCATAGGCGTTTGAGGGGCATTAAAAACTGTCTAACGCCTGCTAACAAAGCTAGTGTGACCTTAGCCTTAGAATTGGCCCAGTTGGCATGTAGATATTTTTTCAACATAAAGGCATAGAAGCCATTGCTGTGCATCATATACTAGTAAGAACCAATAGTTAAAAAAGAGGTTGTATACAAACAGTTTTGGATGCACGGGGGAAGTGGGTGGGAAAAAAGTTAAAAAGAAATTGATAATATTAATATTCATTAATTGAAGAATAATCCCTTTAAGACTTGTATGGCTGCATATCATATACAATATTTAAATATTTTCTGCTAGTTGGAACACATTAGTTTTGGACAACACAATAGAACCACCAATTCTAAAACTTACCCCTAATGGCCTGCAGAAAAACAGAAGTAAAATAGCATACATGTTGTGAAAGATCCAATACAAGTAAAAACTGTGCATATTCAGTCATTTAATATCTGCATAGGCTTTAATAATGAACAGATCAGTAGCAGGTAATGCCTAATGTTCACAAGTACTGCAAGATCTGTTTATCGTGTACCACATAGGAGGACTCTGGCCTTGTAGCTGAAGGATAGGATGCAGCCATCAGCCCTTCTCCTGTTTTGTAGTTTTATGAAAATTCCATTTCTGATCTATTTTAAAATAGGAACAACTATAACTTATTTGCAACAAATAGCCTTTTGATTAAGATAGCACATGAAAACCATTCCCTGAATTTAGCCAGCATAAACCCTTCTACTAGCTCCAAGTTCACAGGACTTTTTCTTTTGAAGCTTGTTCTACGTTGTACAAGATACCTCTAATTCCTAATGTTTCATACTTCTTTCACTCTTTCTTAGCACTGCATTGGAGGAGGGGGATACATCCCAGAGGGATCACCTCGCCAGTGTGGGGACTTTGCAGCCTTGGACTGGGATGGCTATGGAACACGCAGTGGATGGAGTTCCAGCAAGGAAATTACTGAGGCAGCTGTCCTACTGTTCTATCGTTAATCTGAAAACAGTTGTCCATGTTCTTCCTTTAACAATTTTTGTTTACTTCAATAAAGTAAATACCATTTTTGTGGTAAACCTGTTTTACTCCTTGTCTATACATACACCAATGGCTTTTTTTGAGCTGCTAGGTTTAATAAAAACATATGCATTAAAAAATTTTAATTTAAGAAAAAAAAAAAATCAACATAAACAAATCATTTAATTTTAAAAGGAATAAGAGGAAGCAGTGTGTGTAAAGCTATGCTTATAGTCAGGCCGGAGTTAAAGTGGAACTTTAGTCAGAAAATTAAGTCTTGCTAGATCACTTCATTCTGGCCATTTTTGCAGGTATAGCTATGTAAAACATTCAAAATAAGTGCCTATACTGTTTAACCACTTATACCCTCTTCCTGCCCAGGACAATTTTCAGCTTTCAGCGCTGTCACACTTCGAATGACAATTACGCGGTCACTCATAAAAAATTTTTTTTTTTTTAACACAAATAGAGCTTTCTTTTGGTGGTATTTAATTGCCGCTGTGTTTTATTTTTTGCGCTATAAACAAAAAATTTTGCAAACAGTTAATTTTTCTCCACTGATGTGTGTTGATAAGGCTGCACTGATGGGCGCTGATAGGCAGCACTGATGGGCACTGGTGAGTTGGCACGGATAGGTAGCACAGATAGGCAGCACGGATAGGTGCCACTGATGGATGGCACTGACGGCACTGCTGGGCACTGACTGGTGGCACTGCTGGGCTCTGATGGGTGGCACTGCTGGGCAGCACTGATGGGTGGCACTGCTGGGCACATGTGGAGGGCACTGCTGGGCACAGGTGGGTGGCTCTGCTAGGTACTGCTGGGCACAGGTGGGTGGCTGCTGGGCACAGGTGGATGGCACTGCAGGGTACTAATGGGCACAGGTGGGTGGCACTGATGGGGCACTGATGGGCACAGGTGGGCGTCACTGCTAGGCACTTATCATTATTAATATTATACAGGATTTAAAACAGTTTGCTCAGTGCTTTACAATATAAAGGGAGACAATACAGCAACAATACAGTTTAATACAAGAGGGATAGGAGTGCCCTGATCCTTGGAGCTTACAATCTATGACGGAGGGGCTGGTAGAACAAAAGGTAATAACTGTGTGGGAATGAACTGATAGGAGGAAATAGAAGATTCCATTATTAGCTGAAGGCAGGATAGACTTCCCTGAAGAGAGGTTTTCAGAGATTGCCTAAAGTGGGCAGAGTAGGCGATAGTCGGATAGATTGGGGTAGAGAGTTCCAGAGGATGGGGGAGGCTCTGGAGAAGTCCTGGAGACGAGCATGGGTGGAGAAGACAAGGGAGCAGAGCTAGAGCAGAGTTGTGCGAGGAGCGGAGAGTATGGTTTGGGTGATATTTGGAGGCAAGATTGGTGATGTAACTTGGGGCAGAGTTACACATGGCTGTATATGTTATTGTTAATGTTTTGAATTTTATTCGTTGGGCAATGGGAAGCCAGTGGAGGGATTGGCAGAGAGGGGTGGCAGATATGGAACAGTTAGTAAGGTGGATGAGTCTGGCAGCAGCATTCATGATAGACTGAAGAGGGGATAGCCTGCGATTAGGTAGGCCAATCAAGGGAGGGAGTTACAATAGTCAAGGCGAGAGATAACAAGGGAGTGAAGAAGTTGCTTAGTGGTCTCAGAGGTTAAAAACGGGTGTATCTTGGAGATGTTGCGGAGGTGAAGTCTACAAGGTTTGGACAGCGATTGGATTTGGGGCTGAAAAGACAGATGGGAGTCTAGGATTACACCTAGTACCCTGACATGAGGGGAGGGACTGATGGTTGTATTATTGATCTTGATAGAGAAGTCAGGGGAGGGGGAATAGTATGAGCTCCGTTCTGGTGCCCTGATGATCAGTGCCAATCTGTTTGCTGACAATTGCCGGTTCTCTGTAGTACTATCTTCACACTGTGACAGCGTGAGGAAAGTGTAGCCAATAACCGGCAACTGTATTTACCTGGTGATCTGCTGTGTCATTGGACACAGCTGATCACGTGGTAAAAGGCTGCTGTGATGGGCCTTTTACACATCACGTAATCATCTGTGTCCTACAGACACATTGATCACAGTGATCACAGGTGTGCGTGCCCCTGGGGGCGCGCAGGATGGCGCGAACTGGGAGGACGTCCATAAAGGCTGCTGTGATGGGCCTGGTTTAGGCAGTAATACACTGTCTCATCCTGCTCTACACATGCACATCACGTGATCACTACTTAAACCTATCGATTTAACAATTTCAAAACAGTTATATTTCCCGGAATGCCAGGAAAGGAAGGCCCGGTGTCCTACGGACACATTGATCACAGTGATCATTTGCATAAGGGGGAGTCTAGGAGGAAGGAGTGGGGGGAGCTACAAGGGGTGGTCTAACAGGATGTGGCAGGGGGTCTTCAGTCTGAAGAGAGTTTTTACAAGGCAAACTTCCCTCCCGCCCGCCCGTTGTTTTATGGTTTGTCTTGGTGGTGGTTGTGCCATGTTGGTGCTGGGGATCGTCTTGCGGGGTGCAAGGTCCTCATTGGTTAATGTGGGCACAAGAAAAGACACTTTGTAGAAACCCGTCTGAGGTACAGCTTCCAGTTGTTCTGGTGGGGGTATCTGCGGTGGTGTCTCCGAGTCAATGCTGTTGCGGCTGGAGGCCTAGTTAAGCAGGACGCAAGTATTTGTCTTCTTGATGCCTATTGGGACCTTGAAAAATTTATGTTTATACCGTGTTTCTGTTATTTAAATGTTATTTATTGATGGTTGTAATAAAAGGCCATTTGTGGGCCATTAACTCCATTTTGTTGTCAGTGTGGTTACTAAGGTTAAGGATGGGGGGTAGGTATTGGTTTAATGGGACTGGATCAAGCCATCTTTAGTCCCCTGGTCATGTTAACTGCCACATTTGCTTGTGTTCTAAACCAAACTGTCAAACCATTGAATGACTGGTGTTACATCTGATCATACAGTATGTACAGCACCATGGCAGTTGCATATCAAACAGATGGCAGCTATCTTGGGTGAAATGGATTTGAGAGTTTAGTCCTGTTTTAACTGCTGCTCAGGGGCTCTGGGCTTCAACAAAGTGGCAACCTCCAGCAAGATGAAACAGGAACAATGGTGGAGACAATTTACAGCACACACTAATTTTGGAAGCATAATCATTAATGTGAAATGTATGTTCCTTGCTAAAGAACATTATTTTTTATCAATTGTTATGAGTAAAATTTCACTTTAAATCCCCTGCCTCTGTAGCCCAACTGTCTTATACCACTTTTCTTTACCTACAATAGTTGACTAGCTAGCATTAGTATCACAATTACAAGACCAAACAACATAATTACATAGGGTAAGTCAAAGTTATGGAACAGAAAGGCTGAAAGAAACATATTCTGAATCAATATATCTGGAACTGACAACTAGGAGATATTTAAGACCAACCAATTCATTGTCAGCTGCTTCTGGCATGGAACCTATCTCCATGTCATCTTCAAAGTACTTATCTGAATATTTATTGCTACTCTAGAACTGCACCCTAAAGCTATCATCCTTTTCTAGGTAAACTTATCCAGTACACAATACAGTATAATGTAACAGCTGTGCAGGCAGGGTGGCAGTCTGTAACTGTTTATTAAGCACAGTAATGTGCCACATGTTGTGTGGGTCAATGTGTGCAGCCCTTGGCATTCTTGCAGAAAAGACCATTGACTGAAAACATGTCACTATTGAAATTTAAGTATAGGTATGCTAAGCTCTCGGGAATCAAGAATTGTTGGGTTTGCAGTATGCTCCACCCTGAAACTGTGAACAATCTTTTGTATGCTGCACCAAAAAATGTGACATCAATGTTTATTGGTAATCTGAGTATCATCCTTAGAAATGTTACTACAAGGCCTACATTTGAAGTGTTGGGCATTATGATGGAATCTGAATGGTGTTTTCATTTAGGCAACAAATCAAATGAAGCAAAGAATTTTGTAGCAAATCTAAACTTAATGTCAATGGGAAGGTATATGAGGATGGTAACTTTGTACAAGTAAATACCACTAAGAATAGATGAAAAAAAAATACATAGGAAACAACTACAGAATTTTTTTGAATGTTGTATTGAGGAAACAGGTGCTCATGAATGAAATGAAAATAGAACAAATGGGTACATCAATGACCGAGTTGTGTGAGTCTACTACTGACTATGAGTGTTGTACATGCATACATAACACATCTGCTGAGATCCCAGACTACTATGAAGTCATTGAGAATCATAGAGCCCAGGTAGATGCTTTACAAGCTCGATGGTTTAAGAAAGTAGGTATGCTGATTGTGTTATGTTTTTTACTAATATTTATGTTTTTGCTAAACTCTGCTTGTGCATTTTTAACAAGTTTTTAAAGAACCTGGATGCATATTGGAAACAACAACTGTGAAACTTGATGTGTTGTCACTATGTGACAAAAGAGAGGAACTGTAAGGAAATATGTCTTATTAACTGTCATCCATTTTGTATAATGCCTTCATTTCTAAATGTGTAAACAGTTTTGTTTTTGTAACTCTTCTCTCGTTTCTAAGAATAGTTTCCATTTCCGATGAAACAGAACTACTTTATATGGTATCCCTCAACTATTTGCAGTTTCTGTTCTTCACGTAACTATATTGATAAGAATGTAATATTTCTTTGGTCATCCTAAGATTAAGCAACACCCAGTGAGTTCTGTATACTCGTTCTTGTTTTGCATGAAACGTTCACAGATTTAGTTTGCACACTTTGGTGTCTGGAGCTTTATTTCTCTCAGGCCTGAGGATGAAAATAACGAGGACAGGGGCTACAGACACAGGCTGATTCCTATCATCGAGTAGACTGATTCTTCTCTGCTGCAGATTCCTCGTTTCTGTTCCTCCCCCCAGTTTGTGACAGGACAGGGAAAGCAGCAAATTGATTAGCTCATCTGCCCTCCTTTTAGCATGTCTTTTGTAAGAACATGAGCAGTGCAGCAGAGTTGACAGTTTTCTTAATGTGATATTAAAGGCAATTTAAAAATCACAAAATAACAAACATATTATACTTACCTGCTCTGTGTAAAGATCCTCCTTTTCTTGGGTCCCCCCGCTGGTGCTCCTGGCCTGTCATCCCTCCTGCCAAGTGCCTCCAGAGCAAGCAGCTTTCTATGGGGGCACCCATTCAGGCTCGCTCCCCGGGCCACTGCTCTGCGTGTCCATTCACACACAAAGCCCTGGCTTGGCCCCACCCCTTCTATCTCCTCATTGCCTCACTGGCTGTGATTGGCAGGAGCTAATGGCTCCTGCTGCTGTCTCAGCTGATGATGAGGGAAAGTCCCCAGAGAGCAAATGCTCTCGTGCACATCACTGGATCACAGTGGGGCTCAGGTAAGAGCTAAGAGGGCTGCTGCACACAGAAGGTTTATTACTTTCATGCAAAAAAATGCAAAAAATGCATGAAGATAAAAAATCTTGAGTCTTTACAACCACTTTAATCAGAGTGCTGCTCTAAAGGGGGTTGCAAGAGAGTAATTACTCAGTCATCTTGAAGTATCTGCACTGCTTGCATTAAAAATGCATTTAATGATATATTATTAAATATAGATCTGCATTAGTTTGTGCATTTTATATCTCCTGGCAAAACTTTCTTCCTCCATTACCTAGTAAAGAAGGGTTTTAACCATAGTTGGGTGTTAGTTGAGGTCTATTTTCCTACTGGGGAAGTTCCTCTAGAGAAATACTGGCTGTGTTGTCTCTCACCCATCACCTAGAGAGGAAGCGTGGCCCTATCAACTTTTTTTAAGAGGTGTTTGTTTAAGTTTTTTGCACAGGTATACTAAAGAATCAGTAAAGGATCATCAGAAGTACAAAATTAGTGCAATGTGTAAATATAAGTACTGTATTTATGAGGTTAACAAATTTTTACTGACCGTAGGGACTTCACACAGCCCTATAGTAGAAATAGGAGACAGTACCAGATGTCTTAAAGTGATTACAATCAGAACAGAAGACAAAGTGCATGCATACACAGACTCATATACACACTCCAGTGCCACTATCCTGCATAGGTTCATTCAGTGAACAAGTAACCAATACAGAGGAACAGACCTCAATTTCAGTGACCAATACTGTACAGAAGAAATTAGGAAGGTTGGGACATAGAAATCTCCCAAAAGGACTCAGAGATATCCATCCTGGGCTGCCATACTTTATTAAATTTTTGGAGAAATGTCCAGTATTAACCAGACAGAAAAAATGTTGGAGGTAAGGTGAAATGGCATATTTCCAGTGTAGCAGAATCAATTTACATGCATAAAACAAAAGTATCCGGAACGGAGGGTATATCATTTTAATGAGAACACAGACATCAGTAAAAATCTGTCAAGGTTCTAACCCTTCCCCATTCTATTAAAAAAAGTTTTTATTTCTGTCTTCATCCTTGTTTGAAAGATTTTTATTCTTATTTCCGTCTCTGTGACATACGTCATAGGAGATCTCATTCTTCCTTGTTCTTAACGTCCTATATGCAAGTGGAAAGAAGGAATTTTTAGTTGCAGGTAGGCCAACAAAATCCCAACAAAGCCTTCAATGCAACCCCTTGTTTAATATATCAATTTAATATGCTAGATAATTCTTTATCACTATTCCAGAAAACAAATATTTAAATTACCGTGGAAGTCTGTGGATGCAAGGTTGGTTTAAAACTATAAAAAGGTGAAATCAGGCTGATTGGATCACAGTCTAACCATTCCAACTTAAATAATTGGATCAAGTTATTATAATCTGAGGAAGGAGAGTTGGTTTGAAACTATAAAGACTGAACAGATCATAGAGAGACTAGTCCTATATTGGAAGAACCTCTGAGGCATAACTGGTAACAGGACTATTTATGTCTATAATTTTTTTTTACCAGGAACCCCCTGATTATTAATGTTTGAATACTTTTATTGTAATCTCAACATGATTCTGTGTTATATTTATCATGTACCATGAATTGTTCTGCTGGTCTCATTATGTATGCAAAATATAATTAGTTTAGCATAGATTTATGAGATTTGTCTACTTTGCTCAGGTGAAGATGTTGGTGTACAGTCTTCTAGTCCTCTCCTTGGCACTTCGTGGAGCTTTTGCTAACAAATGTGGTGAGTATATTTCTTGTGTCGAAAGAGGTATGATCTACAACAGAGGTGCTCAGCTTTTTTTATTATCATACCCAGTCTGCTATTGTGCTTGGAGTATCACTCTTAACATGGTCATGGGACTCCCAATGCACTTTTGAGTGGAAGATTCTAATAATATGCCAATCTAAGGACTCAAAAAAAAAACTCATTTGGGTCCATCCCAAATGCTAACAACAAGTTCCAACAAGAAGCTGTGCACATCTGTGCTTAAAGCTGCCACCATAGACACATAATGAGTTATTTAGTAAAACAGGAGCTTGCAAAACATGATGCAGCTCTGTATAGAAACCAATCAGCTTCCAGGTTTTATTGCCAAAGCTTAATTGAACAAGCTGCAGTTCAAAGCTGATTGGCTGCTATGCACAGCTGCACCAGATACTGGGTTTTAGTAAATCTCCACCATATTTTGCAAAGGATCCATCCAAACTAGTGAGCTTTGTATGCTACACTTTTTTTTACTCATACCTTTGTTCAGATTGGTGAAGGAATTTTTCCATGTTAAAGACACCTGTAACAGTGATATTTTAGGCCATATTGGTATTTATATTGGATTTTTCTAATGATTTATAACAGGCAGACCTTGGTTTCAACTATGACCAACATATAAGGTCCTGCTGTTAGAAATAAAAAAAAAACTATAAAGTAGGTATGGATGCAAACATATATCCAGAAGTAAAAGGTTTGAGCTATAAAATATATACAGACACTCCTCGCTTAATGACCTACCTGTTTAGCGACTTCTCGCACTTACGACCATTACGACCGTACTTTGCTAACTTTATGTTCTGTAATACAACATTCCAGTATTGTGTGTAAATTACACAACCTATGCAAATTAAGACAAGTGGAAGTTTTCAGTTTGATCTTTCTTGTTATTTTACTTATTCAGAATACTGTATTGTCAAATACTATGCATATATTGTACTACTGTATACAGTACATGCAGTTCCTCACTTAACGACCAATTCGCTTAACGACCAAGTCGTTGAAACGGAACTCGGTCGTTAAGCGAGGAGTACCTGTATTTAAATTCTGATAATTACAACCCAAGGTTTTCCATTAAAGTGGTTGTAAAGGCTCAAGGTTTTTACCTTCATGCATTTATTGCATGAAGGTAAAAAACCTTCTGTGTGCAGCATCCCCCCTATTACTTACCTGAGCCCAATCGTGATCTAGTGATGTGTATAAAAACCTTGGCTATCCTGGGTCTCTGCCTCCTCATCAGCTGAGACAGCAGTGGGAGCCATTGGCTCTGGCTTCTGTCAATCAAGCCAGTGAGCCAATGAGGAGACAGATGGGGTCAGGCCAAGCCACGGCTGTGTGTGTGAATGGACACATTGACAGCAACGGCTTGGGAGCGCACCTGCTCGGGTGCCCCCATAGCAAGTTGCTGGGCTGGGAACCTGAGAAGAGGAGAATCAGTGCTGCGCTGTGCAAAACCACTGCACAGAGCAGGTAAGTATAACATGTTTGTTCTTAAAAAAAAAAAAATGAACATTTAGTATCGTTTTAAGTTTAAATGTGTGCCTCTTGATTATTTTTATGACTTCATAAAGGTCATTTTTTTTTCTATTTGTTGTAATCATTCTGTATTTTTTTGCATTTACTGTGATGATTCTGTAATCTAATTAATTACATTCTGACAACAAATATACTGTTATGCATAAAACACACGATGAGAAAATCAGACGAAAAATGCTGCTTTTGGAGTGATCGTGCGATAATCTGATCATTAATACACAGAAGAAAGAACCCTAACTGTCAGGAAATACAGGCAGACAATATACTGTATATACTTCTTTCTTTGATTGTCCATGTCTTTATTTTAGAATATGCTTCCCTTTCTGAGACAAAGCAGGCTATCCTTAACCTGTTGTCATGCTGGGATGATGACACTGCAAATGGCATTATACCAGATTCTAGATACCCCACTGGAGATGTTGAATATCGATACAGGAGCTGTAAGGCAATCAAGAATTCAGACCGATATGCTAAAGGTGAGATACACATTTATATATCATAGTACATACACAATCCGAGTCAATGTATTGTCAAACACTACTCTGTATAGACAACAGGTCATCAATTATCTAGCATAGCAAGTTTTATTCATAATGAAAATATTATATACTTTGTGAAATAATTGATCTTCATTTTGAAAATAATGGTTAGACTTGTAAAATGATTGAAAGGCCAACTAAATAGCTTACATTTTATCCACAATTTTTAAATATATTTTGTAGGTTTGCAATAATCCCTTCACTGTAAAAATCAAATTGTTTCTTTTGAACATTTGGAAAGTTCCCATGTTGCCCATACAAATGAGATGTTTGCTTTTCTTTCTAAACTGCCAGTAGTAATAGTTTTCTGTTGGTGTGCATTGCTTCTGCAGCAGTAATGGAATAGGAAAAAATAGGACATTTTGAAAGGATGAGTTTTAATGGGCTGTCTAAATATTTTAAAGGGGTAACAAGTCTAATGGGTCAGGGAAGAGAAATCCAGAGAACGTGGCCTTGTCTGAGAGACAGAGATAGAGAGAACATTTTAAAATATTTTTAGGGGTACCAGAAATGTAGGTGAGGTCATTGTGAAGTGTTTTGTAGACAACACATAGCTACCTGAACTTTACTCAGAGGTTAGATGATGAAGAACAGCAGAGAAAACAATTGGCAGAAATGGGTAGCAAATGAGGGATGGTTGAAAGTATAATGGAGTCTTGCAGCTGCATTCATGGTAGACTATAACGATAAGGTATTTTAAAAGAAAAAAAACAGTAGTTTGCATCAGTTGGATTGGGCGCTTTTAAGGGCAAAGACAGAGAAACCACATAATTTAGGTGTCTGTGAAATGGATGTTATTTACTATTATGAAAAAAAAAGATTGCATTGCATGTAAAACATATCTTCTAACCTCATGTTATTGTCTTCATACTGTGCATGAATTTATGTTGCTATACTCTACTGCAGATGGAATTTACACACTGACCACTGAAGATGGAGTGGTCTACCAGAGCTTCTGTGATATGACAACCAATGGTGGAGGTTGGACACTGGTGGCCAGTGTACACGAGAACAACATGAATGGGAAATGCACTACAGGCGATCGCTGGTCCAGCCAGCAGGGAAACAACCCCAATAATCCAGCAGGAGAAGGAAACTGGGCAAATTATGCCACATTTGGGCTATCAGATGGTGCAACCAGTGATGATTATAAGGTATTATAATGCATTTTATAGAGATCATAGAATTATTATATTTTATTAAACGAATACAATATGAGATAAGTGAGAGGCATTTTTGTAAATTTTTGCTTCTTTGTGGTTGAAGATGTAGCACCCTTCAAGATAGGTGCTAGGATATTTATGGTTGAGTATAGCATAATATGGTCTTCTGCTTAACAGGAGATGGTTAGGCAAATTTAGTAGCTCTCTCTGCTTAACAGAAGAGCTACAATTGTTTAGCTAGTGCTGCTGCATCTTGGTGAAGGTTCATCTGTATCCAGGTAACCAAGGAAGGTTCTGGGTGGATAGTATGAACCATGCAGATGAGCAATATGAATATGGATGCAGCTCCAGCCAATTACAGGGAGTGGTGCCTCTGAGCATGCTGGGTGCTAGTATTTATATTCAGTGAGCACATGGGATCTGGGTTCTTCTTCCTCTTCCTCTTCCTCTGAGAAGGGGTTCCAACCACATGCTGCCAGAAGGCTGAAATCCAGGGTGCTTCTGAGAGCTGACTGAGGGGGATGTCTCAGATCCTAAACAAAAAAAGAAGTATTGGAGTGTACTCAGGTGTCAGGTCACTTCCAATTTTTTGGTGCACTAGTGCCACATCCTAGTTCATCAGACCAAAAAAATGGGGGAAAAAATAGGCAAAAGGAAAAATGGACTTTAGAGGCACAGAAACCATAAACACATATCAGTAAAATCACTTGTACTTTACTATGACGATAATAAAGTACAAGTGATTTTACTGATATGTGTTTATGGTTTCTGTGCCTTTAAAGTAAATTTTTTTTCCCTTTGCCTATTTTTTCCCCCATTTTTTGGTCTGATGTCTCATCTTATCTAGTATCACAGAGAAAGGTGACCTGCAGCAAGGGCCTTATGAGTACAGAACTTTCAAAAGGGATCCTGGGATTTGTGCTGTTTAACAACCTCGAGACCTACATAGTCAGCTGTCCACTGTCCTCAAGTGTGAATAGTTCAATTCAGAGTATCCCACTATATTCCTTCCCTATCCTAGTTCTAAAACAAAATAAAAACAACACAAACTACAACCCTTAGACTGATCATTGGAGTAACAAGCGGACGTTGTGTGCACCTGGCTATAAGAAATACTGTATGCTTGATTGCGGGTGAAGATTTAGGGGAAAGCCTGGGCGAAATACTAGCGGCTCCTATGGGGTTAGCCCTACAAAGGCTTATGCATATTATTACTATGTTTGCAGATTCTAAAGTGTTCTATAATCTGAAGACATTGTAAACCTACCCATTTATGTGGAGACTCCCAACCATAAATTATAAAATATCTAACAAAATTGTGACTTTTTAAAAATACTTCACTCTGGCTCTTATAGATCAGATAGCTTTGAAAATCAATTTTAATCAAACTTGGGGGAAATTCTTACAGTTCCTTCTCTGAACTGAAATGTGATAATGTCTGAAAAAAGATATACATTTATTTTTAAATGATTTGTTTTAGAATCCAGGATATTATGATATTACTGCCAAAGATCTGGGTCTATGGCATGTTCCCAATAACACACCCTTGTCTCTGTGGAGGAATTCATCCCTTTTGAGATATCGGACAGAAAACAGTTTCTTTACTCAAGAGGGCGGTAACCTCTTCCGGCTTTACAAGGTAAATACTTTATGGAATTTAAGAGGCTGCCATTGTTTTTTTTATGTGGTATAGCTGTCACTACAAAGGCATTTTGACATGTGTTGCAAAGTTCTTTGAACAATTGGAACTCTTTCAATTCAATTTAAATTTAAAGTGGAACTACATTGCATCTGAGCACCAAAAACACTGTTTATTCATTTTTAATATTCAAACCAAACTCACCCATCCATCTATACCTCCATGCTTGATTTCTTAAGAAATCAATCTTGAGTAAGGACTGATGATTCGTGTAGCATTTACTTAATGGCATACAACTGCCCTTAGCCTAGGCATGCAGGCAGGAGGGTGTGCATAGCTCTTCCTTCCCTCCTAAAGACTCCTGAGATGTATGACATCATTTGCCTAGGCCTGGAACCAGGAAGTAACTGAATAAATTTATAAAAAAGATTAAATACTATCTATTTACTAATGCTAGCAGCATAAGGATAAAACATAGTCAGTGTTGATTGAGAGAGTAAAATATATACAACAAGGTAATTAAAATCATACAGATGACAGAATGACATGAGAGGAAGTCACCAATAGAACATTTATTCCAAACGGTTTTGTGTATTTGCTTTGTGCACCATGGATAGTGTGGTGTTATTACTACAAGAGCTTTAAAGTATAACTAAAGGAAAAGCTTGTTTTTGTTTGTTTTGGATAGAGTGGAGAGGAATTAGGCCCCTGTCAGGTTTTATGGCAATCTATGCCCCGTCAGGGAGATTCACCCTCTCCATGTGCACTGTTTACCATTATCATCGAAAGTGAAAGTAAAGAAACCCCAAATTTTGGGTTGTCCTAAAAAAAAGTATTAGAAAAGAAAGCTTCCAATGAACTAGGGGTCCTCAAGGAATTTCCTTAATTTGCAGCAATTTTCTCACTTCCTGTTTTGGCTAGGGGACAGGAAGTGAAGGTAAATCTCCCCGAATGGGACACAGATGTCAAAAAATAAACTGGCAGGGGTTATAACCCTCCTTTGCTCTATCCAAAATGAAAAAAAAAATTGTCTATAATTCTACTTTAAGTAATTTATATAGTAAGTATATAACAATAATTTGAACCAATGTTTGTACCCTACTGATAGAAATACCCTTTGGTGTACAATATTGGAGCCTGTTTGACACACAATGGACCTGCTGTTCCTATTGTTTATGACTTTGGAAGTGCTGACAAGACAGCAGCTTACTACTCACCACTTGGAGGAAGTAAGATCATGATGAATATCCAATAATCCTTATCTATGTGAATTCTGTAAAATTCTGATCACAATGTTAATGCAACGTTCTTTCTCTACAGAAGAGTTCACTGCTGGCTATGTCCAGTTCCGAGCTATTAACTTTGAAAGAGCTCCCCTGGCTCTGTGCCCTGGTGTAAAAGTGACAGGCTGCAATGTAGAGCATGTAAGTAATAGTACTTCTCTGACACAGGTTGATTTGCTAAAGTCAAATAGACTGTTCACTGAGAATTTTTCCTTAACTTAGTGAATGAGGTGAAGCTCTGCTGAATTCCATCATGCAATCATGCACATGCAAAAATACAGTTTTTTCATTCTATGGGAAAATTTACTTGCAAGGTGGAAATTCCTTTGCGAGGCTAACAGCGTATTTGTCATTAGAAATGAACTGTTATGACTTGCAGGTTTTAAAGGTTTCTTATATGTAGGCTCACAGTTGCCACATGAAGGCATTATATATAGATTATATGTACATGTGAAACATCTGTATACATATGTTTTATATTAATATTTATTTTGCATACCTTTCTTATGGGGGCTATTAACCCAACAGTTTTGGATGTATGGTGGGGTGGGGGCCTTGACAAAAGAATAAAGATATAGATATTAATTATAAATTATTCTTTATGTTAGAATAATTCACCTGAGGTATGAAAGGATGCATATTATTATGCACAATAGACATGTTTCAAGGTATCTCTCCCCCCCAAGCCTATATACCTTGAAACACGTTCTATTATGCATGTCCAAGGGAGATGTCAGCGGAGGGTAGATCCTGGTCTTGCAGCCACATATCCTGGCTTTTCGGTCATCCTAACCATCTCACAATGGTGCTGGTGCTGGTGCTCTGCTATCGCTGGATCATCTGTGCTTTCTACCGAGGCATAGGTTGTCGTCCCTATCAGAGATTGTTGGATTCCTCACTGTGTAATGACCCAGCCGTATTCCACCATCCATCTCTTATTTTAACCCCTGTTAAGCACATTTCTTATTGCTATTATTACTTTTTCTGGATTTGACCTACCACATCATCCAGGCTTTGCATTGGGTCTTTTCCCTCCTATGTACAGTACCAGGGCTGCTGATAATACAACTGGTCTACCTGTACTGGGTCCGGGCCCCATCAGCTCTACAAGGGGGCCCGGTAGCTTTGCTGTTCATCTATAGTACAAGCAGTTTTTAATTACATTTTCCCTGGGCCCCATCAGCTCAGCAGAGTGGCTCAGGAGGCGGAAACAGAGAGGGGATTATTTTTAAATTTCAGAAAGCAGGAGGATAAAGCCAGCACCACAGTTTCCAATACTGATATTAAAGTCCCAGGTGGCTGCTGCTGCTCACAGAATTTCGCTGGTGGAGTTTCTACTTGCCTCCCTCAGTAAGTGCTGAGCAAGGTGGAGGGCAAGGCTAAAGTCCTGAGCAGGGTGGGAGGTGACAGATAGATGGCCGACGAGGGCACAGCACAGGGGTACTGGTACATGAGCAAAGTGGCATAACTGCACAGCACTTGTTTTTGGAAAAAGGTGTAGAGACATACAGCAACTGTAGTACTGCAAGAGGCAAGTCAGTGCAAACAGCCATGTGACTGGCAGCCATATAGCATCTGCTGCATTGTGATCATCACCATTGTCGGGATGATGATTATAAGCACAGTGCGATGAAATGCTTACTTTTAAATCTCATTCACACTTGTATTTAAAAACATGTGGCCACAAAGGCACTGCCACCATAGTCTGTAGTACAGGAGTGCAGACGGTGGGTTGTACACACATTCCTGACAGCCGCAGCCACCAGTGTGTAGTATCCTCCCCGCCACCACCATACTACGACAGTGCCTTTGGAGCAAACACAAGTGTGAATGAGACCTAAAAGCATCTTACTGAGCGTGTGCAGATCTGACAAGCCAACAGTAGGCTGTCAGGTGGAAATGATCTGGCAGTTATGCAGACACTGGATAGCTTCCACATACCTCCATGAGTGCCAGTCCTCCACCATGCATGCACCCACACCATGTTTCCTAGGCTCAGCATTCCCATCGGCAGATCCAGGACAAGCATAGCGGGTGCCATCGGGTAGAGGGGAGGGAGATCAGTAATTGTCCAGTCACTGATCTCCCCTTATTGCTAATGACCCAGAAAACGTGTAAAACGTCACTTCCAGGTCCTTATTTCACTTTCTCCAATCACTGAAAGTCTCACCAGAAGGAAAAAAGTAACCTCCCGTGCTCAGAAGACCAGATCAGGCAAATATGGACAGATCTTCATCTATCTTATTGATCCATCAAATTTGGGCAATGCTGTGAAGCCCCCTTAAAAGCTGGGGAGGCCCAGAATGGTACTACTACAAAACAAGAACAAAAAGGGGCACACAAGCCTTGCGCATTACCTCAGAAACAAAGTAAAATGCTAGGAGGATGGCTGATGTGTTTCGAAGGGAGAGGCCCTCTTCTTCAGAGCCCTTGGGCCCTGACGCATTTCGAGGGGAGATCCCCTCTTCTTCAGACATCCTAGTAGCATCTTCCTTCATCTGGGACTCTTTTTGGGCAAGGCTTGTGAGTCCCTTTTTGTTCTTATTGTGAGAGTCTCCACTGAGAGTTTGAAGGGCATTTCTCTAAATTCTTGTTCTGAGTTATGTAAGGAGGCTTTCGTACTAATCAGTTGGTAATATTTTTTTGCATCTTTCATTTTCTTAGCACTGCATTGGAGGAGGGGGATATCTCCCAGAGGGATCACCTCGTCAGTGTGGAGACTTTGCATCCTTTGACTGGGACGGCTATGGAACACGTAGTGGATGGAGTTCCAGCAAGGAAATTACTGAGGCAGCTGTCCTACTGTTCTATCGTTAATCTGAAAAGTTGTCCATATTCTTCCCTTTACAGTTTTTGTTTGCTTCAATAAAGTATAGAATACGTTTGGGTGAAATCTGGTTTACTTATTGTTTAAATATATGTTATCCATCAAAATGACTCAGATAAGGAAAAAATATCCAACATAAACTTCAGCTCTCATTATGATAAATACAGTAAGTGCAAATAGTGTGTATAAGGGTATGCTTACCGTATGCTACTTTACAGTATGAATGTAGTACAGTGATATCCAATGAACAATCTTAGAGTCTGTCTGGGGTAAGAAGACCCCCTGTTTATGCAGCTTGGTTAGTATGTAATTCAGACAATGGGGTGAACAAAGAGAAGGGAGAAGAGTTTGAGAGAAGAACTTGGAGTGAGCTGTAATTTTTAAATGTAGTTATTGTGCTTATTTTTTGTAAGAATAGTCTTTACAGAGATCGGCTTAAGGGCTTGTTCACACCACAATTTCAGCATTCCATGTGCATTTCTGTATTCACATTTTTGATGCATTTTGTGTTCCAGTGCATTTTTGATGCATTTTTTATGTATTCTAGCGCATGTTTCCCCCTCTTTTTTCCTTCATCTCAATTCAGGACATGTGCATTATGGTGCGCTTTTATGCATTTTGTCACTTTGCAAATGCATTCCATACAGAAAAAATGGAGCATGTTCTAGTTTTAACTGCTGTGGAATGCACTGCAATGCTATGAACTAGGGTCATTGGAATACATTGAAAGCACTTTGCATGCATTTTTGATGCAGATGTGTGTGAACCATCCCTGAAAGTAAAACATGGAGATTGGGCCCATCTCTATAAAAATAAAGTCCCTTTTAAGAATGATAACAAGGGTTAAGTAATAATTAGCTGGTATGTCTATTTCCCTACAAAAATATGGCATTTTCCAGAATTTTCTAGAAAAGGGAATATAAAAAAACAGGTTATTTTATGTAAAGTCCTGTTAAGAATAGATGGGTTGGAATTTACAGAGGTCTTTTCTTATAATATTTTGAAGCTATTAAGAGTTGTTAAGGTCCATTACTGTTGTTTGTTGGTAGAAATAAATGTTTTTAAAAAGGTGGTAAATATGTGGTTAAAGATACATATAAATATACTATATGTGTTTAACACTTTAGGTAACAGCGATTCTCTTACGTTTGTAGCTAAAGATTGACACACGCTGTTGGTGAATATGAGTATATAGGCTATGAGTCAATCAAAATAAACTATAGAGTGATGGCATGCAGTATTATAGTAGATGTGAGCTGTTGAATATCATGTGGATGGAAACAAATCCAAGTTACTTGCATAGATCCTTGGAGAAGTATGATCAAGTAGGGACACAGTGAGAGTGGCTGACCCTTGGAAACAGGATGGTGGGCACTTACAATGGACTACAGACACTGTGCTGCACATGGAGAGGACCAAAGCATCATTGAGGAAGAGGCAAGTCCTCAAAATGCATCAACCATTTGGAGGTCTAGGAGTTCCATTATGGAAAAAATCCAGTGTGACTGGACCTTGCTGTACTTTACATGATGTGCTCTTGATATTTGATCCTTTGTGAGTATATTACCATTTATTTACATAAAAAATTATCTTTTAAAAGGTAATGCACTAGGCCCGTTCCCCCTCTGTTTCTTTGCATGTTGCCAGTCCAACTCCTGAGCACTCACATTTGCACACATTGGTAGTCCCTATAGAGTTACAATAACATACTTATGCATTAGAATAGCATGAATTATACTGGTGAAATATCAGAGGGAAATGTAATGACTATTTGTGCTTTGCTAAAAACGACACAATTAGTCAGAAGTATGTATAGAGATGAGGATCGGGTTCGCCGCTACCATGGGTTTGAGTTGATTCCTATAGTTCCAGATTTGCGATCCTAACAACTTTTGTCAGCTATTTTTTTTAAGGGCAAAAATAGACAAAACTTGCTCCAGAATTCACTACTGGCAAGAGGCAATAAAGGGTATGGACCTTTAAGGACTTTATGGACCTTTTGGCAGACTGTTAAAGTGGGTAAAAAATCTAAAAAAAACTTCTCCCTGCATGTTAAGAGCATAATGTGCTAGTATGCATCACATACTAGTACATTATGAAACACTTGAAAACTAAGCCCTCCAGCAGATGGCTCCCTGAGGCTTCCATCTTCACCCAGTCTTAATTCTGGGTTCCAAAGCTGTGGCCGTTTGACTGGCCGTACCGAGGTGACGTAACTCCTGCACATGCATGCTGGAGTCTCAGCCCGTGGCAAGGCTCTCCCACGCTGTCTATTGAGAGCGCAGTGCGCATGTGCCGGTGACATCACTGGTGCTGTTGAAGTAAATATCGCGATGCACCTTTAGGAGATATTTGCAGTACCTACAGGTAAGCCTTATTAACCTCTGAGTGTAGCTCGGGGTAAAGTTTCAGTACCACAAGCGGTAACCCAGAGCTACACTCGGGCTTACCATGCGGCGCTGCTCCAGGATCTGTTCTTCACTTACCTTGTCCTGCGCTCCCACGATTGTCCCTCCCTGCAGTGTCCCCGGCAATGTCCTCCGGCTGATGCCGGCATCTGTCTTCTGGGTTCCGTCCCCTGCTACGTCGGGACGTACGGGGACAGAACGGCGGGAAATTTGAAAATGACAAAAAGGGACATTCACTAAATTCACTAAAATAACATAGTACAACATTACTGTATCAAACCATTTCACATACATTTTGTCCCGAGTGCTTTGTCCTGTGCTCTGCCTACATTTTTACTGTTCTTTCTGCCTGGAAACTGAGAAATGTCCATGGTGTCCAAAAAGCATCCCTTTAGGTCAAAATCGGTTTTAGACCAGCTAGAGAACAGCGATAGTAAATTAAAACTACTTGCAGAATTGAGTGATAATGATTCGTGGGGAAATTCGTCATCAGACACTGAAAACATTTTGAGACTTTGCTCAGTGATGTGCGAACTTGGCGCTATTTTTCAAATTTCAGTGTTTTTGTTTGATTATATTATTGAATTAAAATTATATTATTATTTTTTATGATTATTTATTACATTATAATTTATGATTTCGTGTTTCAAATTTTAACATACCCGGGATGTTTACTAGACTCTTGTTCGGACAGATTTCAGTGAGTTATTCTTAAAAATTACAGGCCTACAATAAAAAAATACATATTTCCATGCAAAAAAATGTACCGCTTTGAGCACAGAATATGGACATAATCAGACCGCTAGGGAGGTTAAAGGCTTACCTGTAGATAAAACATGAAAAAACTTTCTTACCACTTTAAGCAAAACCAGGTAGCACAAATACCTTATAGGATGAGCAGTCAGAACTTTCTGCAACCAGCAGTAGGTTATACATAGCAGCGAAGCCTCCTACCAAGATGCTCCACTTCCCCTGGATGTATCCTCATGCAAAGCAACATAAATTCCCTAGACCCAGGTTGATGCACCTCTTTCAGCAGTGACCATTCCTAGGTAACAGGCCTAGGAGGCAAAAGACCTAAAGAACAATCCTTACTAGGCAAACCCTGGCAGGGCAAAGAACATTCTCCTAGGACACCCCAAATATTTATAATTTCTCCCAGCATGCACTGCCAGCAATAAACCTCCTAGTGAATTTCCAGAGAGAAATGAATATATTCATAATTCAGCAATATTGTTTATTTTAGCTCCATCTCCTGAGGACACTCCCTAGCAACAGACAAAAGCATACAAGATCTTGAATGTAAGCTGGCCATGATTAGACGGGGACAAGGCTGTAGATTTTTTTATTCCTGTTGGGAAAGGTGGGGAGTTTAGCTCCAAAATTCCAAGAGTGGCAAAATATGGCACCCTTTGAATCTACTCAGTAAGGTTGGCTATGCGGGAGTTCATTGAAAGCAGTGGGCTTGTATACAAGATCATAAGTTGGAATCTCCTTCCAGCTAAAATTAGGTGTGGTTTTCATTGCGCTGAATATTGGTTGTGGCTTAAAGGGATGCAGAGTGCAGAGGTTCAGTGGTAAGAGATTAAAAGGTTCACTAGTAAGTGAGGCAGAGTTCAGAAGCCAGTGATAAGTGGAGCAGAGTTTAGGGGTCAGTAGTACGGCAAAGTTCAAACGTCAGCAGTCAGTAAGGTGGGGTTCAGGGGTCAGTAGTAAGTGATGCAAAGTTCAGAAGTCAGTGAAAAGTGAGGCAGTGTTCAGAGGTCAGTAGTAAGTGATGCAGAGTTCAGGGTCAACAGTAAGTGAAGCAGGGTTTCAGGGTCAGTAGTGAGGGAGAGCTCAGGGGTCAGTAGTAAGTGAGGGAGAGTTCAGGGATCAGTAGTAAGTGACACAGAGTTCAGGGGTCAGTAGTAGGTGAGCGAGCAAAAGTTCAGGGATCAGTAGTAAGTGACACAGAGTTCAGCGGTCTGTAGTAGGTGATGCAGAGTTCAGGGTTCAGTAGTAAGTACGGCAGAGTTCAGGGGTTAGTAGTAAGTGGAGTCAAGGTTAAGGGGGGTCAATATTAAGTGAGGCAGGGTTGAGGGATCAGTAGTAAGTGACACAGAGTTCGGGGGAGTGTAGTAAGTGAGGTAGAGTTCAGGGGTCAGTAGTAAGTGAGGCAGAGTTCAGGGATCAGTAGTAAGTGACACAGAGTTCAGGGGAGTGTAGTAAGTGAGGTAGAGTTCAGGGATCAGTAGTAAGTGACACAAAGTTCAGGGGAGTGTAGTAAGTGAGGTATAGTTCAGGGGTCAGTAGTAAGTGAGGCAGAGTTCAGGGATCAGTAGTAAGTGACACAGAGTTCAGGGGAGTGTAGTAAGTGAGGCAGAGTTCAGGGGAGTGTAGTAAGTGAGGTAGAGTTCAGGGGTAGTAGTAAGTGAGGCAGGTAAGTAGCAAGTGAGACAGAGTTCAGGCATCATTGATACGTGAGGCAGTGTTCAGGGGTCAGTAGTAAATTATGGAGAGTTCAGGAGTCAGTAATAAGTGAGGCAGAATTCAATGAACAGTAGTAAGTGAGGCGGGGTTCAGGGGTCAGTAGTAAGTGA